ATTCTTGAAGAGCAAATGTGAGAAAACAGATGTTACTCTTATAGAACTCGTAGATGAGGTATAGTTCACTTTTTTGTTTCTATTTCTTTCAATTACTCATCAATCAACAGTAAACGTTGAACTCAGGCATATGCCTTTATGATGCCTTATTAAGAAACAGCATAGATGAGGAATAACACAGATTTTTATGTTGGTCTGAGCAGCGTGAACGGTTGAAGAAACAGTTGGAGAAAACAAAGAATCAGAAAGAAAAGCTTGAATCCTTGTGCCGATCACTTCAAGCAGAAAGGAAGCAGAACTCCATCGGCAGCAACAACTCCGATTCAGTTCCATGATGAACACTGCTCTACTCAACCATGTAACTTAAAATGGGTTTAATAATCACCATTACAAATGTTACCCTATATACTATTTTTGGCTATGGCTTGATCTCAAGAAACGGGAGAAAATATCAAGATGTTGCTGAGTGTAATTTATACTCTATTATTTTAGCATATTTGTATCCTCTCTATCTCTATGTTAAATCTCAAATTCGGGAATCGGATTTGTTCATTTTGTTATTCTTGCATGAATGGAAATATTATTCTTCCAAAAATTCAAGCTTTTACATCATTTTTATATATTTTCTTTGGGGTTGTACCTCTTTCTATAATGCATGTTCTTGCAAGGGAGAAGCTCTCCGTATCCTTGCACAATGGATATTGTTCTGTTCATGCTCTACCATGTATGACTAATTCGGCACGATTATTTAAACAAATCACAGTATTTAACACCAACTGAAATGATATGATTTAAACACAACATGAATCGATGAGTCGACTCGATTCGATGAGTCACTTAGTGCTATGGATTGGGACAGAGTTACACAAATCCATGAGTCGACTCGAACCGATGAGTACTTGAATCAATGAGTCGACTCAATTCGATTGTCACTTAGTGCCATCCATTGTCACAAATAAAATCACCCGAGAACAAAAATAGAAAGAAAGCAAAAATTACGAGTAAACAAAAATAGAGTCCACTTCATATCTCATATTATATAAATAAAACCCAATGGCCCCCAGGTCCGAGGCAGCAAAAGCATACTGTTGGAGAAAGATCCGGAAAAACCGTTTGTTTTCGTTCTCTCGAGCTCAAAAGCTCACCAAATAAACAAAGAACCCTGTGGCTGTGGCGCCAACATGGAAGACCAAAAGCAACAGCAGCAACAAGGCAGCAACAACAACAATGCCAATGGGCCTTTGGAGACGACCAGAGCAGAGCGAGCTGTTTGGCTCATGAAATGCCCTCCGCTTGTCGCTAAAAGTCTCAAGCCTGACGCCTCCTCCACTTCTGCCTCTGCTTCTTCTCAATCTGATCAGCAGTCTTCTCGCCCTGTGGCCAAGGTCGTTCTCTCCATTGACCCTCTTAACTCCAATGACGACTCTTCCTCTCCTCAGGTACTTTTTCATTTCCGTTTACTCGACAACTCAAAAAGTGGACGTTTTTCCCTTTTGGGTTTTTACTTTTTTGTGCATGCATTGTCGTTTCGGTCATAATCTTTGTAATTCTTGTGCATTTTCTTGTTTATAAAGCTTTGGTCTTTGATCCTATGCATGCCCTTTTCTATGGATTTTCTGTTGCTTGCTGAGTTTTGTTGCTCATTTTCTTTTTCTTTTTTTCTTTCTTTATCATTTTTCCCAAAGTTTTCATTTTGGGGTTAAGAATTTTCATGATGTGGGTTTTATAGAGTTCAGCTCTTTATGTGTTTATCTCCAAACCCAATTTACAAGTTAGGTTTTCATGACCCAGGTCCTGGCTTTTCTATCAATTTTTATTGTTCTGCAAAGTTTTGGGTTAAAGTCTTCATCTTTATAGTGTGATAGTATCACTCATCTATGTAGATATCCTCTTTTGTTGCCCTTTCCTTGACATAAGTTGTTATAATGCAGTTCACCATGGAACTGGCGGCCACTGAATCTGGAAATATGCCCAAGTGTTACTCTTTGGATATGTCTAAAGACTTCATTCCAATGTCTGTGTTTTCTGAGTTATCACAAGGTGAGTATGCCTTTTTCCTCTGTGGCTTTTCTTTACTGAAATGCATTTGGCTTGACATATTGATGCTTCTATTCTAGTTGGGTATCCACTTGACATCATGCTAAACTTTTCTGCTCCTTATTTTTGTCAAAAGCTAGCATTTAAAAATTGATGGTTTTTACTTCAGTTAAAATGGTACATGCTACATCCAACAGATTGTTGTATCATAGGTAGAGAAGAATAACATTGTTGGCTTGCATGGTTTTGTGTTGGGAAATCAGCTTTTAGTGCCACAAAGAAATGTAAATACCCAAGTTCCTGGATTAGGCTTTTTAAATTTGAGATTGGAATTCAATTTCTTCTCGGCTACATTTTAGTATCACATATTTCTAGTTTAGGTTCTTGTTATTTCTAACTCTTCAATTTATTTTAGCGGAAAGATATGCTTACAAGGTATGATACTCGAAATCAGAAACATAATGTTAAAAATTGATTGGGGTTATATTACTTCAACAGAGCTGCAAGCACATATTAACTTTAGCTGTCCATTGTGCACTCTCAACTGAATGTGCGAAATTCTTTTGTGACTGTAGGAAAGTTATCTGTGGAGGGGAAAATATTGAACAAATTTGATATGAAGCCCCATAATGAGAACCTTGAGAATTATGGGAAACTTTGTCGTGAACGGACGAAAAAGTATATGAAAAACAGAAAGATTCAGGTTCCTTGGATTACTTTATATATTTTTCTCACACTCTATTTCAGTAATCTAATAGCTTTCAGTAGTATAATCACTAATTTGTCCCTTTTTTCCAATTTTCAGGTGATTGACAATGACAATGGGGCTCATATGAGGCCTATGCCAGGGATGATTGGTTTTATAGCTCCTGGACCCAGCGTACGTAAAACCACCTTCTTTTTGTACATATTGTTCCTGAGTAAAAGTGTTCCTTGCTTTCCATGGGACAGACATTATTTGGGACTGCATTTTGTATGTTGGCATTTGATTTTAGTATTGATTATCCACCATTAAGTATTAAGCATAAGAAGAACTGTCTTTCATATAGGAAAAGAAGAAAATGCCAACAAAGGGGTCAGACACGAAAAGAACAAGGAGGGACCGAGGAGAAATGGAAGCCATTATGTTTAAGCTCTTCGAAAGGCAACCAAATTGGACGTTAAGACAACTGATCCAAGAAACAGATCAACCAGAAGTATGTTCTGTTTTCTGGTTATTTCTTTCTGCATGATTTATAAGTCTTCCCCCATTGAATCTTAATATTAGAATTACTATCTAAACCTGTCTTTTTCCAGATTAATGTAAGACCCATCTTGTTACTTGCATATACGGTATACCATGTACATACATGCATGGCATTATTGACAAGGAAAGCTACTGAATATCCTCGTACAGACACCTTACTAATTATTGAGAAGGAAAATTGCTGAAAATTTTCCAAACAGAGGAAATTTGAAGACATCCTCCCTGTTAAATAGCACAAAATTAGGCAATCAAAATGTTACTTTTACTAATGGAAGTATGAGAGATATTGAGATGAATGCATTACACATGGTTAAATATAGAAGATGAGCAGAATCAAGAAACTAAATCCCATAGGCATTTAAGTGGGAAAACATAATTTAAAGGCAGCTAGATAAGAAACTTATCCTTTGAACTTGTAACACACCAATAACCTGATGATCTTTGATTAACTGTAAGCTTTTCGTTATATCATCATAATGTGACTGTTCTTATGAATTTGTCCGTTTGCAGCAATTCTTGAAAGACATACTTAAGGAACTTTGTGTTTACAACAACAAGGGAGCTAATCAAGGGACGTATGAGCTGAAACCAGAATACAGGAAATCTGTCGAGGAGCCAACTCCCGAATAGGTTGTATGATATAGGTTAACTTTTGCAGACACAGACATCTCCCAGCCAAAGGCCTCTGTTACTGATAATTGCTAGTTCCATTCTTCTTAGGCTACTGACCTGATCCTTCTTTTTAGCAGAGAACTGGAATTTTGGAATTTTTGTCTAAGATTGTAGGTTTAGGATTTCATGGTAATCATCATTTGAAGTGTGCACTTTCATATCTTTGTATACAATTAGCAGCCAGCCAGCCTTCTTTTGTTCACATGATTTAGAGGCGTTCCTGTGTCATTTACATTTCCTTTTTGCAATATGAAAATGCACTCAGCCACTGGCATTATCAGATGGCTTTTTGTATGAGTTTGACTGAAATTCAGTTAAAATGGTTAGACTTGGGGATTATAAAATTTAAAACAACAAATAATCTCCTTTGCTTTATTGTTTTGGTCCATGGCTTAAAGTCTAACCGCCTGAATAATACAATCTATGACAAAGTCAATTGTAGAGGTTAGAATCAAATCTTACTTCAGCAGTGACGTGGGATTTGTGGACGCCTTCGTTGTTGTCCTTTTATGTGAATTTTTATAAATAAATAAAACAAGTTTGTATAGCTCAAATTATTAACAGTAGTTACTCTTATATCTGAGGTCATGATTGTTACTCTTACATCTGAGGTCGTAACTAAATCAAACATGCGAACAAAACTTAGAATCAATATGGGATTTAACTTTTTAAAAAAAAAAACTTTACTAACTCTACTCAAGTGATCGATCATAAAGCTCCAAATTTAAGTAGTGAAAAAAAAAAAACGTGATTTGCCAAAAATATGTGAAACACGTCTCTCATAATTGCTAAACACACCAACACCTACTTCCATGAAAAAACCATGACAAGAAATTATGAAATGATTTTTTTATTCAATAAAAAATTAGACAACAAAAAAGCAATTCATCAACTCCACACAAAAATGAAAATTGAAAAAAAGCACGTGGTGTACACACCAACAGCGACTTGGACTTGGACTAGGGTGGGCCCCGCTATCAAAGACGTTCAACAACTTGCCACGTCATAGTTTGGACCCGAATAACCAAAACCGGTCCGAAACCGAATTCTTTTCCCATTCTAACTTGGAGAGCTCCAACCAAGTAAAAAAAGCGTGTGCTCACCACGACGTCGTCTTCTTAAGCCTTCTGAACCCTCTCTCTCATTTCTCCCAACGAAAGTCAATTTCGGTTCCACCTAACACCACCGATACCTTTCCTCATCTTCTTCTTCTTGTTCTCTCTCTCTCTCTCTCTCTCTCTCTCTCTCTCTCTCTTTCTCTGTCTTCCAATCTTCCCTTCGCAAAACCTCTCTCAAGGTACGATTTCTATCTTCTTGCTTTTGGGTTATTGTAATTTTCTAGTTTGGAATTGACGCCTTCGTGAATTGCATTGTATTCTTCGAAGTTGTTGTCTTTCTTGATTTTGTTGGTAATCTTGTTTGATTTTCAGTTTAAATTGATGTATTTGGATGGTGTAAATTGATGGGTTTTAAGAGGTTTAACATGAGTTGGATGATTTGTTTCATCATAATATTTTTCTGGGAAATGGAATCTGGACGATTTCCGACGATTTCCAATTGATGTTGAACTCGAGTCTTGACTGGTCTAAATTGATGGGTTTTCCTTAATTTAATCAAGATCGTTATTTTGGTGACAGATTTTGTATTATTAAGTAAAGATTGAGGAAAGTCGTGATTTTGATTTTCAATTAACTGGGTTTCTTGACTTTCTTTTAGTTCTTGTTCTAAGCATAGCATTTTCTCAACTTCAGAATAAGCTTTTTCGATGACTATCCATTTGACCAAATAATATCTATCGGTTTTGGCTTGTGGGTGGGTTTAGAATTTTGAGAAAATTGGGTTTTTATGTTGACTAAGACCTGGATTTGGTGCTCGTGTTTGCAAGATAATGTTGACAACTTTATTATGTGATGACTATTTGTTTACCTTAGATGCAGCATCAACATCTGATTATAGGCATATTCATATTTTTGGTAACATTTAGAAGCATGTGTTTTCTTACTCTTCCTACTAAGTAGGAGGTATTGATTATGCATTTTTCCTCGTTTTGCAGGTTACTTTTCTCCGCAATAGGAATGGATTCCTTTTTCAAAGTTGCAAATGAAGATTGTGTGCCTTCTGAACTAGACATTCTCAGATGTCCGTTTTTGAGAAACATCAATGAGCCCACCAATTTTTCCTTCGCCTCATCCTTGGCCTTCCCAGTGCCTGTAAGTTATATTTCCTTTCGCTGATTTGAATCTTCTATTGTTTTCTATGTTACTGTAGGCGTACTTTTGGTTATTTGCATCTTCTATTGGCACTTACAGCTGCTTGATTGAAATTGAGCCATTTTCTGATACTACTTTCTACTTTTCTTGACCAGGGACGTGGCGGCAAAGGTCCAATTTTTGAAGATGGTCCCAATTTTGACATGGCATTTAGGCTTTTCCATGGGAGTGATGGAGTAGTCCCCCTTTCTGGAAGATCATTTGTGCATTCTAACATAGTTGAGCCTCAACCAGCCCCATCCATGTTTAATCCATTAGCTGCAAAGGCAGCCACTATCAGTCTCTCATCATTTGGAGGGCCATTCAGCTTTGATGCATTCTCTGAGAAGTGGAAGAATCAGAAACGAAAATCCAATTCCTCCAAAAAAGATACTTCTTCAAAGGTAAATTGATTGTTGCTTCACACTACAAATTTCCCAGCTTGCTGAGTAATTGACATATTATAAGTTTTGAAATTTCTTGTGATTTTGTTGAATTTTTTTACTTTGTATCATTAGACAATTTTATGTATTTTCCGATGTTTATTATATTTGGAATTGATGTTTCAGGGAGGAAATTCTAATCATGAGGCTTTGAGTAATGAGTGGCTGCAATCCGGAAGCTGTCCGATCGCGAAGTCATACCGTGCTGTTAGTGGTGTAATTCCGCTTGTTGCAAAGGCTTTTCAGCCCCCTCCGGGCATGAAAATTAAGTGCCCACCAGCAATAGTTGCAGCCCGAGCAGCTCTGGCGCGAACTGCATTTGCAAAGAACCTCCGCCCACAGCCCCTTCCTGAAAAAGTACTTGTGATTGGAGCATTGGGCATGGCAGCCAATGTTCCTTTAGGGGTATGGAGGGAGCACACCAAGAAATTCTCACCATCTTGGTTTGCTGCTGTGCATGCAGCTGTTCCATTCATAGCCATACTTCGGAAGTCTGTGCTGATGCCTAAATCAGCCATGGCTTTTACCATTGCAGCATCAGTGCTAGGACAGGTCATTGGCTCGAGAGCAGAGCGATACCGGCTGAAGGCAGTGGCTGCTAAAAAATTGTCTCTGACTGAAACCCCATTTGGTGGGACAAGTGAGTTACAGGTGCTTAAAGCGAAAACTGGTCACTGCAATGACATTGAGGAGTGGAATTCAGTTGCTCTTCAGGTTACGCGTCCTTCTTCATCTACCGATGTGTTCTGCTGATTGTTAATGGAATTTTGATGGCATTGATCCATCATTTCTATGTATTTTTACAGAGTGTAATTCTCTGTACTAAGTCCATTTGTGCCTCTAAACACTGTCTTTGTCCTTTGAAGACTTGAGAGAAGAATAAATGTATAATGCGAATCACGATTTTTTTATCAAAGTCATTTCCTTTATTTTATTGTTCCCGTCCAATTTGGGTCAACTGTCCAAACTTGTTTGCATTTTGAGTATGTATTTGGCTATGTGACCTGTATCCAGTGGAGAGATGGGATGGAAATGAGCTGTAATAGTTGTACAAGGTAATCTAGTCTAAACTAGAAAATTCAATATTGGTTAATTTGGTTCTTATCCACGACCATACAAGTTTGAATCGTTATACATTAACAATTGTCGTTCATGAGATTTAAATCAATCATCGATAAAGGTTTAGAAAGACCTAATCAAAATGGTTCATGAGATTTATTTCTAAACCTTTATCAAAATAGTTCATGAGATTTAAATCAATCATTGATAAAGGTTTAGAAAGACCTAATCAAAATGGTCACATGGCTAGAGTATTTATCAAATAATGGTTAATTTTTATTTATTTAAATTTGTAACAATCTCGCAATCAAATGTATTTATTGTAAAAGAAAATAATCGAACATAAAACTTGGGATCACATGGCTGGAGTACTTATCAAGTAATGGTTCATTTTCATTTATTTAAATTTGTAACAACCTCGTAATGAAATGTATTTATTGTAAAACGAAATAATGGAACATAAAATTTCTAATGCACAAGTGAATGTAAAGGAAAGATTCGAACATAAAACTTCAGATGCACAAGTGAATGCTATTATACATTGTTGGTTGATAGAGTCCCTAAAAATTTATAGTTATGTTAACAAATGAAATTTCCATTATTTTTTTCCGTTTGTAGCGGTAAAAGTAATACCGGCAAAACTCAAAACTTCACATTCACAGTCGGGCAACAAACTTTTGGAGAAGTCAGTTCAGTTGCGGGTCGGAAACCGACCCGGGGTCGGGCAGAAGGCAGCAGCCATTCTTCACTGAAAGTCACTTTATTTTCTTTCTTTCTGGGTTGAAAATTGAATTGCATAAGTTACAATGTCCAGCTCTTCGCCAACACGTCAGCCTCAGACATTCGGATTGCCCTGGCCCGATCTCAACCACGGCTTGCTCTACAACGACGTCGTTCGAGCTTCCGATTCTGGTCCTCTTTCGCTCCCTCTTCTCAAAGATAAAGATAGACTTTTCTATATATTTTTTCCTTTACTGCATTTTCTCAGCATCCAAACGCAGTCCATGCGCTAAAAATCGATGTTTTTTTGGATTTAAACTTCACCGTCGTTTTCTTTCTCTGAATTTGAGTCCTACTATTGGTGTAAATTACAGAACTGACACTGATCGAGTTCTACTCGAGCAAGTATAAGAACTCAGCTCCTCTACAAGGGTAAGCAGGCAGCCTATGCCAACTTCTGCCAAATTGCTCTTGCTTTCTTTGCTTTCTACCCTGTGTTGTTTGCTTGGAGAATTGAGTTTGGTTTTTTAAGCAATCAAAAATATGCTTATTTTGAAGAACCAATATAAAAATCTGTACTGATGATAGTTTTGCAGTTGGTTGCAGAGAATTCGGAACGGACAGGTTTGAATATTGAAAATCATGGAAAAGTTTGTTATGAGAAATGGAAACGCATGCTTTGGAAATTCTCAGCTTTATTTGTTGGTCTACAGATTACAGTTGATGGCGAAGTTGTTAGAGATCCCAGTACGATCCTCAGGTGTTGTTTGTTTGATGGATGCTATATGGCTCTATATTCTATGTCTGCTCTTATGCATATAGAAGATTCTTATGGGTTTTTTTTTTTTGTTTGACATAATCAATTTGTTTAGGGTCGGTTCGGAATTGGTCTATCATAGGCTTCCGTGGAGAGAGCCTGATGCGCCATACTTGCTGGAGGTTCTATATGAGGATGATGATATGGTAAATGTCTCACTGTGGTTAGTGATCGTTTCTATGTGTTGGATCATATCTTTCATCTTTGTTGCTGTGTCTATTTTTGCTTCTTTTCATCAAGATTAGTGATGTTAAACAACTGGCCTGAAGTAGAGTCATTGTTTTAATACTGTTTTAAACAACTCATTTTATATTATTTAGGTGAATGCAAAAAATGGAATGTAAAAGATTATGGACTTAACTTCCACAATTGAAATTATGGAAGTTGTGCACTGTAAAAGATTTAGGTGAATGCTATCTGTGTTGCTGGTAATTTTTTATTATTTTATATATGCATGAGAATTTGGAACAGACAGGTTCGAACATAAGAATTATTTTCTTTGATTCTTTGATTTTGTCTTTGTTTGAGAATTTTGTTTTCATTAAATAAAGCATTGGAGTTATGTATGGTTTCTCTGCATATAATGTATATTGTTTGTTTTCATCCATTTTTATGATGACTGCTGTTGACGTGAAAGTGTTCTAATGAATTCAGATTGCTCTAAATAAGCCTTCTGGCCTGCAAGTTTTACCTGGAGGTCTTTTCCAGCAACGGACAGTTCTCACACAGCTCCTGTGGCGGGCAACAAATAAGATCTCTCCCTTATCGTGCCAAGAACCACATCCTGTTCCTGTTCATCGCTTAGGAAGGGGCACTTCAGGTAACCATGAATTCCAATGCTGAATAAAATAATGAGATCCCTTTTTTTCTTTGTTTTCAATCACTGTGGCTAAGTTTTCGTATATATGGCTGTGGACATGAGATGATTTGGATGCATGCTCTAACTAATTGAATTAAGCTCACAACCCATACTCATCAAGGCCTTGAAATTATTCATAGTAACCGATTAACGTGCATTAAAACATCAGGCATAATTTATTTTTATCACTTTGTCTTGAGAAGTTTCATGTTAGTATACATAGTTTTCCTTTGCTTTTTCTGTTTTAGGCTTCATTGCATATAGATGTCATATTTCTGAGCCGATTTTTAACTTGTAAAGATGCATAACTTCATACTTTGTTCATTGTTTCTCACTAGATAACATAAATAACAAAATCCTTTGTATACAATGCGTTGCTCGCTTTCCAGCTCTACATACTATTCTCACAAATCTGTTCATTGTTATGGCTACTAACAGAAATGGTTATACTTCTTGATATTCTTCTTGTTGACTGGTCTCATATGGTTCTAGGAATATTACTCTGTGCAAAGACGAAGCATGCCAAAACTCAACTTGCAGCATACTTTGCTGACGGGACATCTAATATTGGAGATGACAGGTTAGAGAAATGACCTATTCCATCTTGCTCACATCTGCTTTTAGCTTCCCCTTTTTTTGGAATGAAAACATTGTTAGTAATCACAATGAGATAATATCAGATTCTCTATGTAAACTTAAGATTTCTTTCAGTTGGGTCGTAATCTTTTTCACTTTGCCAATAAGATCTACAATATCAATGCAGTAATACCTCCATGGAGGTACGTGCACTGAGGAAAATCTCAAAAATATATCGGGCACTAGTGACTGGGATACTTTGTGAGGATAAGGTAACATCCTTGTGAAGTACTGCTGAAGTGTGAGCTACTATGACTAATGTCAGTTTGTGCGTGTATAAGTTTATATCTCCAAGAAAGCATTCATATCTACTGTTTCCATACCTTATTTGACTTTAGAAAATTCTCTAAGTGGCCTTTAGGGAAAAGTCTTCATGTAGGACTCAACAAATGGTAGCTTAAAAAAACTTGCAAATCTATTTATTAGCTTCTAATGCCATTTTTTTTCCTGTCTTATCCATTGCAGCCCACCAATCTTAACATCCTAAGTTTATTAGTATTCGTTGCAATTTGACTTCTACTTGTCTCTGGTCACAATTTAAATTGATGGTTTCTTGGGACCAGCGGTCTTCCTTTTTGTTTATTTTTTGGCTGTCTTCTTCAAGGATATTTACTCCAACTATACATGCAAATAGATTGTGTGATTGATGTGAAATTACTATAGGTAATTGTCAAACAGCCAATTGGAGTGGTGCGATATCCTGGTGTGGCTAAAGGGCTGTATGTTGCTTCTCCCACAGGTGTATTTGCGTTCTCTAATGTACTGAATGAATTTTGATTTCTGTAAGCTCCCTCCAAGTGCTACACCATGATTTAGAAAGAAAATGGCAATCTTTAAGTCATGCCTGTGTTATCTTGCACCGGTCACCCTTTCCCTTGAGTGTCTCATGCAGAAAACAATCTATTCTATCCCATCATACTTATGCCTCTCTGTAATTTTTTCACGTAACCAGGAAAACCAGCTCTGAGTAAAGTTGAAGTTCTTGAGAGAGAGATTCATAAAAACCAAACACTGGTCCAGGTACCCCAGTTTTACCAGTTTAAACTACTGAATACATATATAGGCTTTTCTTATATGATTATATCCATCTGTTTTGTTTTCATGAATGATAAATTTATTGATGGCTTAACTCGAACACCATATTAACAATACTGTTGTATGGAAGGGAGGGAATCTGGGGATGAAATATAAACCAACATTCGAAAGTCAACTTGATTTTCTATTAACCACAAGAATTAAATTAAACCTAATGATTATGATAAGTACAAAAAAGATATCTGAAATTTACGATGAGCAAGGAAGTCAGGTTGTGTTTTTTTCTTTTTCATTTTCTTTTTGTTTTCTTTTGGAATTTTAGAACTTACTTTAGCGCACTGATTTGTTTAACAGGTTGAGATTCAGTCAGGAAGGCCACACCAAATTCGTATCCATCTTTCTTACATAGGACATCCTTTGTTAGGTAAACTTTTTAATAAAACTCTGGTTCTAGGAGGCCCTGGGTTTGAGAAACCTCACATCCCCATTTGCCACATATTTGTTAATTTGCAAGGTGCAGGTTGTGGTTGCACCTATATATCTACTGTAGTTGTGAATTAGCTGTATTATTGCTTGGACTAGTTGAATGCTTAAGAAATCCCTTCTTTTTTTTTTAACAGGGGATCCTCTTTATGTTCTTGGTGGACAACCAAAGTGCTTAGATTCTGACTTTGTAGATGAGAGTTTTGCAGATGATGGGTATGCAGTTATTGTGATATAGAGCATTCTTTTGTGGGTTTTTCATCATACTATTAAAGCATCCACAATGGATTCCCTAAACCACCTCTTTAGATAAAATTCAGGAAGGAAGTGAGAAAACTCACCTCCAAGTTCCAACCATGCTCTCTATCCAACTCCTAAAATAGGGAGACCTCTAGGAACTCCTAAATCTGAGAAGAGAGAAAAGACTCCTAGTGACTCCCTATAATTAAATGTTGTTTTTCTTTAATGCTATTTTAAGTAATTATTTAATGCTAACTATTTTTTATTATTATTTTATATGAAGAGGGAGCATTTATGCTAAACTGAAAAAAGAAATAAATATGATTCCCTAAACTAGAGATCATGGTTGGGGTTGAAATTTTACAAGGAGCTTCTAAAATAGCTTTAAAATTTTAACTGAAAAATAAGGAGCATGATTGTGGATGATCACCCTATTATCAACCACTATCATGGAGGAATTTGCGTGGTTTCTTTTGGTTTTTGTCAATGTAAAAAGCGGATGTTGATATTAAAAGAACGTTATTTTTTTTTTCTCCATTTTGATACGAGTTGCATTTTATTTCACATTGCATGCAGAGGGTTCCTGAGGCCTACAAAGCCTGTTCCAGGAGATTGTGGCTACAACTTGCATGCTCATCAAGTGATTCTCTCTCACCCATCATCCAATGAGGTAAAGGTTTAAACAACGATTGCTACTTCTATTAAAGGATGCTGTGCATCTTCTATTTTGATAATAGTCAAGTTTTTGGTATCTATTTGCAGGAAATCAAAGTTACCGCACCACTTCCGGCCATTCTCCGAACTCAGCAAGAAACCGAAGAACTTACTAGTTAGCACTACTACCAATTCCAAGAATGCTGCAGATGGAGAGTGCTCATTCAACAGGCTCCTCGAAGACTTGGAAGCTTAGACGCATACATTCCCTTGTATTTGCCTAGAGTTGAGTTTTCCCTTAGAGAACTATGCCAAAGCAAATTTTGAGTTTTTTTATACTAAAAAGAGAGGAGTTTTACGAAACCCAGAATTTGGTTGATAAAAGAATGAGTGACGTCTCACTCCCCAAGTAAATAAAACACATAAAACACAACATGGAGAAAAGATGTAGAACCGACAAAGGTAAAGACGTCAGATGAGAGCTCATGAACTGGAATAAATCCATCCCTCCCAACTTTTGCAGTTTATTTCTGTATTTTCCATAAAATACAACAAATACAAAGCTGCTGCAATATTACAAGCACCTAAAAAGCATTTTACCAAAAAGACGGGGACTTTAAACCGTCCATTGCCCTATCACGTCACTGACTGAACACAAAAAAACCTATTATACAGGGCGCAGCAAATAAATAATTTGCCACTGAGGGCCTCTCTCAAAGGCCCTCTGCAACATCTACTACCTTCCTACATCACCCTTACCTCCTCTCCAGGACTCTTCCTCTCTAATCATGCTCCCCGGCTGCCCCCCATACTGTTCAGTTTTTGCATAATGCATTCTTATGGCAGCAACAGGATCTGAAACACCAGTACATGGACCCCCTACAAGGATCCCTCCCCTCCCTACTACGTTCATCCCAACAATCCCCCGTCCTTGCTGCTGTAAACTCGAAATTGTATCAAACCCATTTCGTCTTGGCATATCAAATACGTCTTGCCGCTGCTGCTGCTTCACGTCTACTGTAAATGGGGGCACTTTAGCACCATCCCGACTCCTACTGAACACCGGGTAATCCACAACTCCATTGCTGCCACTAATTTCCCTGGAAGGAAAAACTGATACACCATTCATATTCCGATCGTTGTTCTTGACTTGCAATGGCTGCTGTTCCATTTTGGAAGAGGAAGTAGGAAAGTTGCCAAATGCTGCAGGGTACTTGGCCAGCAAGATAGCTGAATCAGGAAAAGATGGATAACCAGCATGCACTTTATTCCCTTCCCAAAAGCCATAACTCCTCCTGGGAACCTTCTCAATCCCCAGATAACTACTACAATCAAACTTCAGGACAGAAGAATTTCCATCAGCATTGTGATGCCCAGTGAATTTTAGGTTAGATGACGTGTTGCTTAACTTATGGTTGTGAGCTCCCTTTTCTTCATTCTCATGGATGTTGGAACCTGACTTGGGCAGGGATGATGGATTGCTGAGTATTTTACCAAACAGTTTCACATCACCATTCCTGCTTGGTTTATCTGAATCTGATGAACTCCATGAATGGGCTTTTGGAGGGCCAACTGGTTGTTCTACCTTTTGGGGAGCAAGGGGAAAATCAACCTCTGAACATTGCGGCTTACAGTTACCAAATTGAAGGAAGCCATCTTTCGTCATATAATGACCATTGATCTTCCTGTCTGGCTTTGAAAAGTTTTGAACTTCAGATAAATTACCAGACGTTACATCCCCATTAGTATCTTTCTTGGTTGCCATTTGCAATGGATAGCCCTTGAGAACCTGAAAGGATTCAACATTTGTATATATTGGAAGACCAGGTAAGTGCTTGTGACACTCATCTATCCCAACAGATTTAGGCTCTCTACCCTCCTGTAGATCCAGGGTTGACGACAACCTATCTTGGTTAAGGGCTTTCTCGCATTCAATTTTAGCAGAATCTTGTGACACGGAATCTGCAGGAGCATGACGATTCTCATGTGGCATTGAGATGACAGAAGAATTTTGCAAAGAATTCAGCCCCACAGAAACTTGAGGCAGGCACTCAGGGTTAAGACTGAAACCTGAACAAGAACCACCACCAGCCAGGGCAGAAGCATTGCCACTTGAATTAGAATCGTGTACTGAACCTGGTAGGCTGCATCTGCTTGTATCAGTATTGCCATCAGAAGAAAGTTCACCCATCAATTTTTCCCCATCCATGCCAGGATTAGTTGGGTCAAAGTTGATTCCCCCACCAACAGGAAGTGATTCTGCAATTAATATTCCCTTTTCAGCCACATCATCTCTTGGAGCATCTGCAGAGCATACTCGACTTTTCTGGGCATCTCTTACACAATCGGCATCATCCAAAACTAGATTAGGCCTATCCTCCGCCTCTACTGCATCAGACGCCAGAGATTTGAGTGTCTTACCACCTTCATGATCTACTTGTCCCATTACATTGTTTTCCTCTGATCTAAGTGGACCTGTTTGCAAATTCATGGTCTCTGCAGGATCAGATTCATCATCCATGTTAATGACAGACAAGAGCATGTCCTCATTCATTCTACACCCTGACTTATCACTGGAAATACCTGAACCAGTTTCCAGAACACAGGCATCTTCAGCATCACTCCCACCTCCATTAACATCATCACCAACAGATGTTCCATTTCCAGCCACAGGATGTACCAAATCAAGCCCAAGGCACTTTCGAGCTTTACTAAAGAAAACCTTGCATTGATGTTGGGACCTCGTTCGAACACATCTTGAGATCATAGCAAAATCCTTGCCATAGGATGACACTGCCTGTATAAAGCTAGACTTCTCCACATCTGTCCAGTCAGAAGGATCCATTTCTCCGCAACTTTCCTCTGAGCAAGTCTCATCATCAACATTCTGCATAACATCAGGCGTCAAAGGTCGCCTCGCTAGCGAATCCACTTTCTGGCACTTCCATTCTCGGTAACCCTCACCAGGATCAATAGAACTAGTGATGCAAGAACTCACAGCCTCAGATGACAGCGAGCCACATATACCTGCCAAAACATCAGCAGCAACTGTTTCTCTTTCATTCCCAATAGCATCAAAACTGCAAGACCTTTCGACAGTGGTATCATCACCTCGTGATGGATTAGTATTCCTGTACCCTCCCAAAAACAACCTTCCTGAATATGCCTGTCGAGATCTCGTGCTACCATCGGCATGAGCTGCGATTGCAGAAGCAGCACCCAAAATATCAAGGGAAGCAGCATTCATCTCACGATTCCATTTTTTCCCATTTGAAATTAGGTAGGTCTTAGCTGAAGACTTTCCTTGCTTAGTCATATCAGCCTTCTTCTTTGTTTTCTCGAAACAAACAGATTTGTGATGTTTGTAGTAGAACTCAACACAGTCAGCAGTCGTCTTATGATCAAGAAAAGAAGCAATTTTTCTGAAATCCTTCCCACATGTGGTTAGCTTTTCAATGAACAGCTCTTTCTCTTCTGGCGTCCATGGGTTCATCAATGCCCTTTCCTTCTCAACAACACAGGGATCTTCAACTAAGCCATTACTAGAAATAAACCTCGTCACCATCTTCTCCTTCTTGTCCAAGATTAAGGCTGGCATCTTCAATGAGTTCCTATAAAGCTTGACTTGGGAATCTGACAGCAACTTGTTGGTAAAATTAATGATCTCTGTAGTTGGGACCAAGCTCAGATTTCCTGCTGAAAAAAAAATTGAAAAATGTGATCAAAAAATGTTTCAACAGAAGAACACAACAAAAATGCAGAGATATTTGTTCTCAAAGGATCGAATTGTATTTTTTTTCCCAGTACTAACCACTAATGTTAATACAGGGAAAATTAGTGAGAACCATGTCACCAGAGATCAGCATGCATGCCTCCTAGGCAAGAACAATGCATTAATCGTCAAAGTTAATCACTTGATTACTATCAAGAACAGAACTGGTTTCTTTCATTTTTCTTGTTTTGGTACCAGCATACCATAAGACAACAATATTGAAACATAAAAAAGGCATAAAGGAGGCATTACCAGTTCCACAAGCATAAATAATATTTCATAACCATGTTCAAACACTAAGAGAAATAAAATCAAATGCAACACAGAGCACAGAAACAATAAAACAAGAAAGTTGAAGCGGCATTGAAAATATAAACTAGAGTCCCCTCACACCCATATCCATCAACAACAGAACTATTTTCTTTCATTTGTCTTGTTCTGATATCAGCATATCAACATTGACAGACTCAACGCATATAAACCAAGCACTTTATTCCAATCTCATAGAAAGAACACAAGAGGTTGAGAAAAATATGACAATAAACAGATAAAGAAGAAAGATTTACTTACCAGGTGTAGCAAAACGAGATCGAATAGAAGAGCGATGCTTCTGATACCCATTATTTGTTGCTCGCAAGCTTAATTCAAATTTTTTGTGAGATTTCGAACGATATTTTCGTATGGAAAGCAAACGCAAGTCTTCCTTCCACAGGTGTTGAAAGGCTTTATATTTTAAGGTTAAGACTCTCTCCATAAACCTTAAACGCCGTTTCCTCATGGCGAACTTCTCTTTGATCAACGGATCATTCTTCCCAGATGAGGAAATACTAACTCCAGATATATCAACCTTGTAGTGCTCTCTTGGTAACAGCTTATTAAATACGTCAAATGATCTATTTGCAGATTCTTTATTGGAAGAACATATAGAATCGCATATCGTATCAACTACACTAAAACAAAGACTGGAACCACCAGAAACAGGTGCAACTATCTCACTACCCAAAAGCATGCTACTATTTCCACAAGCAGCCAGGTCAGTCTTTTCTTCATACTTTCCTGGCACTAAGCATTTTGCTTCCCCTTTGGTCATTTCAATTGGATCCAAATCCCCAGAACAATCATTGTGACTCATCACATCCGATGAAGAAACCACCTTTACCAAAGGTAATGGTTCAACAAATTTCGACGTCGCTGTTCCAGGACTATCAATATCCTCATCCTTAACAATACCACAAAATTCTACCTGGTCACCATTACCAAGACACATCTTCTCCACATCAGTGTCCCCAGAAGAATGAATTTGCAATGGAGCAGGCCGAGTGATCAAATTGGTGACAGTAACCTGTTCTTTGAAAGATTTATCAATGTCCTCCAAAGGCAAAGAACTAGAAGTTGCTGGACGTGGACAGCTGCCACCAGAATCAGAGTTCAATACTTTAAGCTCATTTTCAAGTGAATCAATTTCTGACTCGGTCACTTCCAACACCTTCGAAATTTCACCTTTCCATATAAGTAACTTGTTCATTGCAGTAGGCCTCACAATACCAGAATCCACTGAACTTGGGTCATCAGATTGAAGCAATTCCCGTAGTGATGAGCCCAAATTAGCTATAGAATTGCAATCCAACTTTTCCAAATTGAATGTGAATCCCTCATGATGACTCTGAAACATAGGACCAGGGGAACCAAAAAAGTTTCTATTATTGTTGTCAACATTTGCTGTCTTGCCAAATGATTTCTCCTCCACACCTGTTGCAACAATGATATAATCATAAAACTTCTGCACCTATAACATATATATGTAAGGGAGAGATAAACATAACAATATGGAATGCATCAAAATAGCAAGACAACAGATAACTTACCAACAGAAAAATATATAAAATGCATTTTTTGTAAAAACTAAAGATATGTGAAGGTTTCAAAAAGAATGTGTGGTAGCAAAAATTAAAAAATAAGAACACATAATACTACAAAAGCAAAATACTTAGTATAATTACTTAAGACTACAACCTAAAACCACTGAGAAGGACAACCCAGGAGACCCAAAGGTTTTAAAATCCATACTTCCTAATTTTCTACCTAAAGGCCCTTCCCATTCCACTAAACCAACACGTTGATAATAATATGTCAAGATGAGAAAAGCTTCATGTATGATGTTCCTTATCAAGGAGAGGATTTCATTGCCCACATTCTAGCAACGAGTAGTTATATCAACTGAATCTCATACTAACTTCTATTTGACTTGCATTAATAAGTAAGCAATAATGCCAACACCACATTACAGATTTTAAAACACAAATCTTGTCAAAATCCACTCACATATCAGGTCACAATTTAAGATAGGGTAACAAGTGAAGGGAATGTAAGGATGCAACAATATACCTGGAGAGGAACTGCAAGCTACAGAGGATGGAGTTGCAGGAGATGCACAATCTGAGAAAACTGTAACTCTAGGGCTTTTATCAGCCAAATTTGAACTCAGAGAATGGACCGGCTCCATGTTACCAACAGAACAAACAGCCCCATCTTTGTTCATGCTTCCATCAGGGACCTCGACTTTCTTTTTCTCATACTTTGCCAATCCCTCACCCCATCCAAGGCGCGGCTTCTTCCTAGAAGTTGTTTCCTCTGATGGTGCAGCAGATGTCACACAGGTAGTAGCTTCTCCTGAAGGAGACTGCACCGGAGTGGCATTTTTCAGCTGTGACTCAAGCTTTGCTTCATTGAAATCAATGGCCCCAATGCTCTTTGAGCTACTTGAATGGCTGAAACCTGAACCCCGAGAAGACATGCTTCCAGACCGCGTCCATTTAAGGGGCTTCCAATCAATTGAGCCCAACGAGTTCTCTCTCTCACATTTCTGGCCAGCACCTAGACCGGTAGAACCGCCCATCCTATCAAGCTGGTCTTTCAATTGAATCTGATCCCATGTGCTTCCAAAGTCAGAATGCGGATGAGATGAGTATGTCAGCATATCATCCTGCGTCCTTTGTTCATTAATCACGTCATTTGGCCTGCCCGGTGTGTTTGGAGACCCACTGCTGGTTTCCCAAGAATGACCTTTACATTCCCTCTGGCTGTAAGACCCTCTGTTATCCCTGCTGTTCCTACCATACCTTCCATCTCCACGCGAAAATGATGGTCGGCAGCTCTCATCTTCCAGCATCTTATCACCAGACCGAGAAGATGCATAGCCATGACCAGAATCCTCGGAAAATAGGTGCCAACCACCCTGCTTACCATGACCTTCAGAAAATATTTAAAAGGAAAGGAAAGAAAAACAATCAACTCAAGCAAAGTATTCAGACCAAACAAAACTCAAGCAAAGTATTCAGGCCAAAAAACACTCAAGTAAAGTATATTTCGAACAAAACAGAAAAAAGGCAAAAACCATTTTTTCCAGAAAAAATCAAGGAAAAAAAGAATATATATTTCCCATAACAGATCTCAGAAAGTTGGCAGATCTAAACGATACTTGTGAAGGATATGATATGAAATCCAAAAAAAAAAAAAACCTAAAACAACAAAATTAGCTGTGTTGAATCATCAGAAAAAACCCTTTCTCAAAAATAAAATTCATAAGAAAAAACCCAAAACCGCTTACGGATGAAAAAATCATAAGGCTAAGGATCAAGTCTATCCGACCCTTCTCTTTGTTTGTTGTTTTAGCAAGCCCAACCCGTTCAAAAAGTGATTTACAACCCTAGAACAGCAAATTAATGAAACATATGTTTGTGTGCATATACATATTTATCAGAAGCCAAGAATTCTAATTCTAAATAGCCAGCAAAGAAACAGAAGCACAAGAGAGATTATTGAAAATAAGATAGACAAATACCTGGTGGTCTGCGAAAATCGGCTGAAGGCCAACGATTGAAGTCGCGAGGTGCATGATGGGGCGAGTCCCTCCATCGTGCCACAGAGCCAAGGGACTCCGACCTCTCGTGCTTCCTCTCCTTGAAGAAGTCTTTCCGATCCCAAGGCAATGGTTCTGGCGGCATCAAAATCAACCCAATCGCATGGGCAGCCACACCTTCACAACCCTAATTCTAAACCCCAAACACCACCGCCAAGATCTCTCTCGGCCGTATGCCCACCAAAGTCTTCGCCTTTCCACGCCCAAAAAACAACAGAGCTCACAGCTGCCTATCCGTACCGTACTGAATCTAGGGTTCTCTACAAACCAAATCGTATAAGAGCCTTTCGAGCCTGCGCCGCAGCCACGGTTGGTTGCCCTAGGGTTTCGAAACCAGATCGTGGACGAAACAAAGCATAGGAGGAGTTTAGTGAGCCATGGGAGACGATGACTCTCCTAGGGTTTGCTCTTGTTATCCGCTTCGTCGTCGTTCGGCTGCCTTCTCTTCCTCTGAAGAAAATTTTCCTTCTCTTTCTTTCTCTTTCTTGCTCTTTCTTGGCTTCAAGAAAATCTGCCTGTGGGGCGAGAAAGTGAGAACCGTGAGCCGATAAGGGACAAAGAGAGCCTTGAGAGAGAGACTGGCATCCGGATCTCAACGCCCCTATTAAACTCTATTTCAATCTCAATTCGCGTCCGAAAATAAATATAATTTCTTTTATAAAAAATTAGAAATAAATCCTTTATTTATTTATTTTCTTTTATAACCCTTATTTATATCAAATCTTTTACTTTTTCTAATTTGTTTCTACTTTCCTATTCCCTAATCAATCAAACTTTTTCTTTTTCACTTTGGCCCCCGCCTGTGTTCTCATCGTCGTGACCAAAATGCCCATGGTTTGGGGCCTTATTTACGGGAAAAGGGGGCGGTGGTTGCCTGCTGTATTTTCCTATACGTTAAATGACGGAATTACCCTTGATGTTTTACAGAATGACACAATTGCGTGTCACGCTGGGTTTTGACCGTGGTTTTTAGTTTTGAGCTTTTCTTGCTAGAGTTGACTCTTCTATCTCTCATCATAACAAAAGAAAGCCAATGGGTTGTCGCGAATTGAAACGTTAATTATTTATTTGCATCTTCTTGATAAGAACAAATTTAATTAGCTACGGTGGTGCACATGCAACTTATCATCAACTTGCCAATACAGTGCAATTCTTATCTCTAATGTAATAAAATGTTCAAACGTTTTGCTAGTTTATTATTGTGTTGATTGTGCATATCTTGAGAAGTACTCCGTTTAAAACTTTCATCTAATTATATTTCAACTAAAAACGCTTAATTTCTCCTAAAAACATCGTAGTAATATTGTGTCAATTTGTATCTGTATATTTTGTTATCGACCATAATTAATAACGGCATCTTATCAATATCATATCGACAATCTGTTCTTTAACTAATAGAAGAGTTATTGAAAACCCCCTATGCATGAGAGAAATATGAAATTGCCAACTTACTCAAACTAAAGGGATTGAATGAAAAAAAAAAAATCACCTTATATACTTTCGAATCAAGCATTGTTATAGTCCTAGAGACGCACTTTAGTTTGCTTTATCCCAACCATCCCAAAATGAACAATCACCACCCACCAAGAAAACCTAAGTTAGGCATATATGGTAATGCCTCCAAAGTAGATTATTCTCAGAGCAGAGCTTAATTAAATTAGATTATTCTCAAAGCAGAACATTATTAAGCTCGATGAAGTAGGCAAGAGATGACTTATCAAAACCTCTAGGAATAAGAATCAAAGCAAAGGAAAAAAATTTGGGAATCTCAGATATATGCAAATGTAACAATAAAAAAAGCAGAAGCATTTAAAAAGGAAGGTGGGCTGCTGAGAACTTCACAAAGAAGGTAAGCTCCATCCTGCAATTTCAAACCCTACATATTCTCTCTAGTCTCTAAACTAATACCAAACAAACAGCAGGGCAGAGGGAAGAGCTCTTTTCTTCATCTTGATCTCTCTCTTTGTTCAAATTAAGCTCTTGCTGGGAAGCTTCAAAGTTTGAATGGAGACCAGCTTCAGGGTTCTTCTTTCTTGTCTTTGCTTGGTTGGGTTGTTTTTGATGGCCATGGTGTTGGGTTCGGGTGGTTGAGAAATATGGGTGTGATGTTTATTCTGCAGAAGGATAAGTCATAGGAGCCTTTTTGGAAGTACCTACCAAATAGTCCTTCCCAACCAAAATTTTGACAAAATGATTATTCTATATTTTGCCGACACAAGGAGATAGATTTTATTTCTATAAAAAAAACAAAGAAAGGAGGTAGATTTTATGAGCCTCCCAATTATAGTAGGATACGGATATTACAATTTTCACCTTATTGGGTCCATGGAGAAGTACAACTGTTCAAGCAAGCAGTGAACCCAACACTAACCTTACATTTTTGTAAACGAACAAAAATAAATAAATCGCAACATCATAAATTGTGATTTCATGTTAGTCAACTATTATACTATGATCATTTACGAGGCTAAGAAACAAAAAATGTATACCTAATTAATAATTTAGGGTTCGTTTGATACAGCTTTTTTAAGAAGCATTTCTGTTTATAAGCGTTTTTATTATAAAGATGTTTAGATACAAATTTGGAAGTGTTTCCAAATTATTTTGCCAAATGTTATCAAAATCGCTTTTAGCCATTCCAAAAGCACTCCAAAATAGACCTTTATTTCTTTGTCAAAAGCAAACAATTTAGTTAAAGTGAGCATTAGAATATGGATACACTTTTTTTTTTTAACGAGCAATATTAGAGTATAGGAGATTCAAACACAAGATAGGAGTAAGTAATTGTTTGTAACCATTCGAACTACAAACCCCTACCAACATTGTTTTGAACTGCTTAAATAAAAAGCAAAATTAATTTTCTTTGGTATTTTGTACACTTGATTCTATGAGCATGGCAATATAGTGCCCAAGGATGATTGTCTCCACACAATTATTTGTTCTTGGCACGTCCAAAATCACACCCCCACAATGACAAATTCTTAGACCATGTGCCATTTATTTAATAAAATACTTGTAAAGTTCTATGCTGAGAATTAAATTGACGAGGAACTTTACTTCATCTAATGCTTTCGGACCATGTTCTCTCTATCCCCAAATAATCAAATTGGCACTGAAATCTAGAATTTATATTAATATATCTACAATGACTATTATATATAATTTTACTTTCTTTTTATAAAAGGAATATTGAAAAATGGAAAATTAAAAATAAGATACTAATACAACTACAAGCTTGTAGGACCAGTAATATAGATAAATCATACACCATTTAATTTTTATAAACAAACCCAAAAAAGGACAGCTGACCCTATTGAATTTAATTTTGATTATTAAATTACTTTGATGCTATATTGAGTGTTTTGATTATTAAAAATTAAGGATAAATGGACAAAATTAAGGGGTTGTTTGGTTCAAGATTTAGGAATGGAATTGCATTCACTTGTTTGGTAAATACATCATTGGGAATGCAATACCTAACTCATGGATGGATATGAACTTCCCATATAAATGTAAAAATCGATACTCCCAAAATATTGCTAGTTAATTACATTGTAAGAGACAATAGTCTAAAATTTTAAAATGTTGCACCAATGGTGGTTTGATTTTATACATCAAACATAGAACCAACTCCTCCTTTGAAGAGTTTTTGTTAATTAAACAAATTCACTCGTTGCATATGGTTATGTTAAGTCGCATAAAAAGAAATGGTTATGTTAATTTGGTCCAACAATACCACAAGTTGACATAAGAAGTTTTTGTTTGATTATTCAGAGGAATAAATGTTATTAAAAAATATACGAAAGAGGGAGCGATTCGAACTAGAAACCCCTCGAAACACTAGAAAAATAGTACTATATTAAATTACAACTAAATTTTTGTGATGCGGATTGTGATGTGGAGTGATCACCATGTACAATCTAATTTTAGTCGGTCATTTGATATAAAATAAATATAAAATAACTATTAATCAGTGAAAACCCAAGTGATGACATTTCAACTCTCAGTCTCAGAGGACCTCTGCGTAAATATGTAGCACTACAAGGGCTTGTACAGAAAACCCAACTTTGTCGCCTAGCAAGCATTTCCACCTCAGTTGAGTTCAGCTAGCCTCAGCGAGCGGGAGTCGAGACGGAGTCAAAGCAGTAAACTACGGAATGCAGACGTCAACCAGGACACGTGCAAACGCACGTATACTCGTTGTCGTATTTGGCAAATGCTCGTTTGGAGATATAATTGTAACCAAACACATGCTGTCAGAAAAAAAATAGTAAAAATTCTAGGTGCATTCTTTTATTTATTTTTTTATTTTATACAAGCAATTCGGTAAGTTAGATTGGCCAGAGAGAAAAAGGATTGTAAAGAGACTTATAATGGAAGTGGTTAAAATCATTTATTCTTACATACGAGATTTTAAATTCGATTTCTCCCTCTTCTAATATTGCTTCTAAACAGAAGAGTAGGACGTATACGAAGAAAACCTTCGCAATTTCAATTCCTACTTCAAAAATTAAAATTTCTAAATGCCAACTTAGAATACGACGTATACGAAGAAAACCTTAAAGAAAAAACCCTAGTCGTCAACTTGGCGGCCACCCTTACTATTCCATCCCTTTTCTTTCCTATCATCCCATTTTCTATAATTCCCTTCCTTTTGTTAAAGAATATAAGTCATATATCGGAAACTTGACTAAATAAAATACAAGATATAATGAATGGTATCACTACTAATATCACCGAGCCTTTTGTAATAAAACCTCATACCTATTGGGCTTTGTAGGTGGTTAAGTTGGAGATAATATCGTTGTTGTTAATAGTGGGTCGTAGGCCCGTCTCTCTTAAATTTAACATGGTATTAGAGCAGGTTGATTGACTGGGCCTGAATTGGGCATGTATCCTTGTTCACGTGTTGGGTTTAAATTTTTGACTACATGTGTGGCCCACTATATGGTGGTCCCACGTGAGGGGCGTGTTGAAGAATATAAATCCCACATCAGAAACTTGACTAAATAAAATACAAAATATAATGAATGGTTCCACTACTAATATCATCGAGGCATTTTGTAATAAAACTTCACACCTACTGGGCTTTATAGAAGGTTAAGTTGGGGACAATATTGGTGTTGTTGGTAGTGGGTCGTTGTCCCGTCTCTTTGAATTTAACACATTTTCCCTATGGATTCTTTGTTTTTTGTTTTATTTTGTGATGTAGAAGCAATCACCATGAGACGTACGTTGTCGTTGCCATGATATAGTTATTGTCTTTTGGCCCACACATACCAGATTGGTTCAAGTTGTCACCCTTCGATATAGATTTGAAGCTACGAAGCGTGGATAATGTCAGGTTCAGGTTTAGTTGGTGCGGTACTATGAGTTTAGCCAGTATGACACTATGGCTTTCTTCAGGTTGCCCAAGAGGATGTGGAGCGGTGGACTTGTTTTTTAGTTTGTGTTAGTCTAATAATTCCCATGAACTCTATAGGAGTTTGATGTGGTTTGTTTTTTTGTTTATTTTATTTTATTTCCTTTTGGCTTTTGATAAGAATTTGACGTTTCTAATGTTGCATGACAAATCTTTATTGCATGTTTGGGTACATATGCTTTTGATTACTGATTCAGTGATTTTAATCATTTTTTGGGTTGTGCGTATTTTATCCATATCAATTCAACTTGTTGTTGCGTTTGGTCACTAGAGAAGTTGTATCCATATTCAACACCTTAGTTGCTTTGTACTTACTTTTTATTTATTTATATATCTTATCAATAAAATATTATCGCTCTTTTATCATAAAAGAATAAAACGTATATGAAATGAGCATGTGAAGCCTAACTTAGAGTTAACGGAGTGAAATGAATATGAAATGACACCGTAAAAATTCATGTTAATTTAAGTTTAATTGTTTCAATTCAACAAAATAAAACTTTCGTATAATTGAAAGGGGTATAGTAAATGTTTAAATGCTTAACTAGTGACAAAAAGAAAAGGATTAAATGTTCAACTCTGTAAAAGAATATATGAATTCTTTTATGCTTAATCATGGTGCATGATGGTTCTAAAAAAAATCATGGTGTATGATGAACCAGATGCAACCTCTAAACCTCTCTAATTACTGATATTAAAACCCTAAAACTCGTGGGATGATGACAAGAAGAGCGAAAAATAAGGTTACCTTGTTGTTTTCACGGTAAATTTTTTCAACTGGCAACTGCCCACCGCCCAATAAGTCAAAAGCTTGTTGTTGGAACTTTTGAAAAAAGCATATTTATACACATAATACAAATGAGTTGGATTTGGAGCATGTGGAATTATCAAATAAAGAATTCTCTCATGGTGGATTTTGTTTGGAGTGAAAATTTCAGGGGAGAAGTAAGGTAACACAGTAAAAAAAACAACAAGGCTTTTTAGTCAAGTTGATGTTTTTTTTTTCCTCTCTCCTTGTATTTATCTTTTTTATTAAGGAATATCAGACGTCGACATGGGAGTTTATTGAGTGCATGCACGGAAGCAGAGCAGGGGTGGGTGGGTTCATAACTTCCATGTAAATGGACAATTACATAATGACTTGTCATCTAACACAAAGATAAATCTTCTGTAAGAAAGTAAAAATCTCGTGTGTTTTGATGATTCTAAATAAGTGCTTTTTCTATTGTAAGACGTTTGATTTCATTGTAAATTGTAATCTTAGAATTCTTGTGTTTTAAGTAGCATTGAGAAAAACTTGTATATATCGTGTAATTGTTTAATGAAAAATACATCTACAATTTGGGTCCAAATGTTGGTTGATTCTATAGGCACCCAAAAATGTCTATACACACTTAAAATTTATAGACATTGAATCACCCAAATATCCCAAGAAGGATTTACATGTTGGCCCTACTATTTTTATTTTAATCATTCAAAAAGGCCTCCCCTGCCTCTATGTCTAAAAGTCTCATATTGATACGAATCCAGAAAACGAATCATATAGGGGGTTCATAACTATAGTGCTAAAAAGCACCTCTTCCACATTAGAGTTCGCTTTTTTTGTTTTTTTCCTTCATATTTCTTCCTTTTCGGATCTTATATAATATCTTAATATGGTCAAGCAAAGAAAGTTTTTTTTCCTACAAATTAATTTACTATCGTTGAAAGGGGCTTGTATGTAGCTTTAGACAAAGCAGTTACTTTTACACCCGAGATCTTGCGTTGTAGAAAAATATATTTGTTGTTTCCATCCAGAACATTGAGAAATTAAAAGAGAAAAAGTGTAGAAAACAGAAGAAATGAACGTGGAACCACGTTTTGGTCCATGCTCTCCATTTATATATGTATATTAAAATTGAATGGCCATCATTTTCATGGTTTACTTTCCTATCTTCGAAACATGGTAGGTCCTTCTCTTCCAACTCTCTTATCTCTCTCTTTGATTGAGTATGTACGTAACTCTGACTCTATGCTTACAAACTCTCACACTTGACTCATCCACCAAGCCGCAACTGTTGAAACTCACAGCCATCATTGCAACAAAACCTATCTTCTCGAGTAACCTCCCACATGCACTTACAAAAAAACATACAATTTATGATATATTTCCTTTCATTGAATTCTAGGGTTCTAAGATGCAATTTTTAATCAATCCACATAAGTGATTTAGATCTCCTTTTCTATTATTCAAAAGAAAAATATCGCTAGATTAAAAGTTTGTTGTAAATATGTATAATAAAGAGAAACTCAATGTCATTTTTCATCATTGTTTTAGTAAGCTAATTAACATAAAATCGATCATCAACCATGTGAAGAGTTATACTAACACCAGTTGTGTGTGACGTATTTTCAATCATGATTATGCATTTTAATGTCTAAAATGGGATCACACGCACAATTAAATTTTCAATTATGATCGAGTGCATGACTTAATGTCTAAAATTGGATAACACGCCCCTACTCGAATGGCGCAATGACTTAATGTCTAAAATTGGATAACACGCCCCTACTCGAATGGCGCAAATACTTTTATGTTATTGTTTAAAAGATATTTTGGCAAGCTCAAATTAAAACCCTTGACCAAAAAAAAAGCTCAAATTAAAACAAAATAAAACATGAATCAGAATTCCAACTGACAGCCCATGGCCCATTCAGAGGATATGATGAAACTTCCCAAAAGAAAAAAAAAAAAAAAAGAAAAAAAGAAAAAAAGAAAAAAAGAAAATGCTTTGAGAAAAAGTCAAGCCGCAGCCAAGCCCACAACCAATTTGATTCCTTCATCCCTGGACTGAGTTTTTCAAGGTATCGCCAACAGACTACAGGACACTGCAGCTAACAAAATTACGGCCACCCACTCTTATTATTTAACACTTAATCTGTACAGTGCTGTTGCTTATCTTTTTTTATTTGATTCTGTTTATGAACTTCTTTCACCATTATTAGTCACTAATTGCCTTCCCTTATTTGGCTTAAAATAAGATACTTATAGGAAAGCTCATGTGCTTTTTTGGTTTAGATTCATTTTTTGTAGGTGTTAGCTGCAGACCTCAAGTTTGCAGCTTGAAAAATCTAGAGCTAACCCCATGTGCGCATCCTACCTGTTCGGTCAATTGACTGAGTGAAGCAAATAAATTCCACGCTGTGGAATTTTAAAGCACAAAAAAATTGCATGGCTTGCAGACCATTCACACTCCATTCCAACTAATCACAATCATTGGCATTCTGCCTGAGAGGCCAAGTTTTTATAAATGTCAAGCACTCTGTGTCTCTCTCTGTCACTCATATTTTTTTTAGTCTCTTTAGGTAATTCATTGCAGACCCAGATATATTTTGGGATCTGGGTTTTATTGTTTAGTGCATTGTAGATAAATTCCTTGGTAACCCATAACTGTGTTGGGATTTGTGCTTCTGGGTTTCATTTGAGTTTGTTGTAATTGATCTATTGTTGCAGTACCTTCACTGAATGCTTTTTAAGTCTCTTTCTGCTTACAGCTTCTGAATCTTATGATTTAGAGTTTTGTTGCTTTGTCTTTGTTATTGCTTGACTGGTTAAGAAATGGGTGACCACTCTCCATTTGCATTTCTTTGCATTTTGCTCCTTTTCTTTGGAGCTTGTTTTGCTTCGATTCAAGATCAAGTGAGGGATAGAATCACAAATTTGCCAGGACAGCCAAATGTGGGGTTTGCGCAGTACTCTGGTTATGTGACTGTGAATAAGAAAGCTGGTAGAGCATTATTTTACTGGTTGATTGAATCCCCAAAAAACCGTGGACCTGAGTCTAGACCGCTGGTGTTGTGGCTCAATGGTGGTCCAGGTTGTTCTTCTGTTGCTTATGGAGCAGCTGAAGAGATTGGACCGTTTCGCATTAGACCTGATGGGAAGGCCCTTTACTTGAATCCCTATGCTTGGAACAATTGTATGTATAACCTTATGGTGCATATTCTCTTAATTGGTTACAAAACTGTCATCTTTTTATTATTATCTAATTCTGATTGATTTTCAAATATTTGGGCAGTGGCAAATTTGCTGTTCCTTGAATCTCCAGCTGGTGTTGGTTTTTCATACTCGAATACGACCACAGATTTGTACACAACCGGAGACCAGAGAACAGGTTGTTGTTCACTTTAGTTTTGTAGCCTTATATTGAATTTATAGTTTTCTCAGTTTGTAGGGGCTAGCATTTGGAAGATTCATGGGTTGTGTGAATACTGTTTCTCTGTTTACAAATTAGTTTATTTTGACATTTCTGAATTTTTTTGATATCTGGGGTGTCTTGTGTCTGTAGCTGAAGATGCATATGCATTTCTAGTCAATTGGTTTGAAAGGTTCCCACAGTACAAGCACCGAGATTTCTACATTGCTGGAGAAAGTTATGCAGGTGTGAATTACTTCCTCAACCTACTTTCCCCCTTTTCCTCTTCCAATTTCATCTTGACTATGGTTTCCCTGCACATTTGATATGATAATGAGTTCATTTTCAAAATTTCACTTTCAGGTCACTATGTTCCTCAGTTGTCTCAATTGGTTTATGAGAGAAACAAGGGAATTCAGAATCCAGTTATAAATTTTAAGGGATTTTTGGTAAGAATGTAGGATTATCTTGAATTGCAACTATGTGCAAACTTTAGTTTCTGCCTCTTTCCTAAAGGGTTGCTTGGTACAATGTAAAAGATTTTATTTATTGTTCGAAGAATTACCAATATCAAATGATATTTTACTTTTTCCACGATTGAAATATTGTTTGATTTTTTTAGTACTTTTGAGGTAATTGACTATCAACCTGTTGAGCAACTTATTTTGTTTTAAAACAAGCTGAAGTTAAACTGTAGATAGACTGTTTTATTCTATTTTTTCAGGATGCCATAAAATGAAATAAATTATTTTAATTGCTAACAAGGAAATCCTTAAAATTAAGTACATTCAATCATGATTTTGAGAACTAATTTAAATGAAACACACAGTTGTAGTTTTCCATATATTTTATGAGAACTTTAACATGTGAAGTGTCTGGCAACTAACCTATTTACATGGGTGTATTTATCTTGTTGATTTATTTCTTTCTCCCAGGTGGGAAATGCTGTGACTGATGATTACCATGATTACGTTGGCACATTTCAATACTGGTGGACCCATGGTTTAATTTCTGATTCTACCTATCGGATGCTACGAGTAACCTGTGACTTTGGATCCTCTCAGCATCCATCAGTGGAATGTATGAGAGCCCTTAAAATAGCAGAAGTGGAGCAGGGAAACATTGATCCATACAGCATTTTTACCCGTCCTTGCAATAGCACTGAGACGCTGAAGCACAACTTGAGGGGTCATTACGTAAGTTCTACTGAACATTTCTTTTCCTCACTAGTCATCATTCTCTACTAATTTGTTAACTGGTGGAGCCTGCATGTATATGTTTCTCTCTGTTTGCCTTTCCTCGTGTGGGATGGGACTGCACTTGAGGAAAGGTGTTAGCTTCACATACATTGTTAACCCATTCTCCAGGGTACTGTGGTTGTCTAACAGACCTAGGAGTTAAAAAAAGTAAAAAAGGAATAGGTAATTTTTAGTTGCTTATAGGTTTTAGTCAGTTGTCACTGTTTTGGTGATTTCCCCATGCAGTCAGTGTACCAGGGATTACTTGGCTTTTTAATAAGTAATTGATATAATTAACCTTAGAACTCAATTCACCCTTATATTAGATATAAAAATACTTCATATACTTGTTTGATATATGAAATTCTTCTGAACAATTCCTATTGAGAACATATGCATCTCATTGCATTGCTTTTCCAGATGCAAAGTTATATTTTATTTTGTTTTTTAAGTTCCCTGCCCTTAAAGTTTCAAACTATGATTTGCAATATCTTTAGATTCTGTGAAGATGAAAAATTTTGATTCTGAATTTTGTCACTGGTGGTACAACTAGTTAACATTTTCTTGCTTATATTTCATTACTACATTAGCATCAATGTGTTCCTCAGAGTCTAGAATTTGCTTAATTGCATATTTTCTTTAAAAATCATTTGAAAGGTCTGTGTTATTTAATCTTACGCTGTTTAAACTCAGCCATGGATGTCCAGAGCCTATGATCCCTGCACTGAGAGGTATTCTGAAGTGTACTTCAACCATCCAGAAGTTCAAAGGGCATTCCATGCCAATGTAACTGGAATTTCTTATCCATGGCAAACATGCAGGTAGGTATTTTGTTTTCAATATTTAACTTCTTGCATGTCTTGCAATAGAGTTCTTAGATAAAGTGTTTTTCTGCAGTGATATAGTTGGAACCTACTGGGCGGATTCTCCACTGTCTATGGTTCCTATTTATCGAGAGCTCATTGCTGCTGGTCTTAGGATATGGGTATACAGGTAGACTCACCATACTGCAACTCCTTTTTCCCTCAGGTCCCTGAATTTTGAGGATTCTGGTTCCCTGGATTTCTGTAATTCAAGTTACATATGTTTAGTTTTTTGTTCGGGAACTTGATGTTATAAACTAGCACTACTAGCAGCAGTAATGGTAATGGTGGCGGTAAATTGAATGTGCATTGTTCATAGAAGCAATCCTGTTTTATATTTCCATTAAGTATTTACTTGTGCAAAGATCACTAAAGGTTTTTATTGAACTGTACTTCATGTTGAAGAGTTTGTAGCGTGTGAATAATAAAAAATGAACAAGATGTTACTGTTTGTTGTATAATTTCGTGAATATACTTATGGACGTACTCTTTGGAACTGTACTTTTGTTTTTCAATTTTGCTTCCTGTAGCTGACATGGCTATTGATGAACTCTTTCTCCAGTGGAGACACTGATGCAGTGGTTCCTGTGACTGCAACTCGCTACTCCATAGATGCCCTGAAGCTACCAACAATTACCAACTGGTCCCCTTGGTATGACAATGGCAAGGTTAGTTCCATGGAAGAGATGTTCTTCACAACCATTAACTCGAATTGCAATTTTATGTTTTCCTATTGTAACTTCAGTCCATATTTACACTGCTCGTTTCTCTTCTTACAATGGGTAGCCTTTTACATTCCTTCTTTACTCTTCTTTGTTTTCTTTGGGCCATAGACTTTATGTGCTTATGACAACCGTATTCCTGATTAACTGTATATAGACTTTTTCTACCGTATCCTTTTGTTATATCTGCAGTAAACTCTATAATCCTTCATCTCCTGAAGCGCTCTCATTCCTTTGTCATCTAGGTTGGTGGCTGGAACCAAATATACAAGGGGCTGACATTTGTGACCGTGACCGGAGCTGGGCATGAGGTTCCGCTCCATCGACCTCGCCAGGCTTTTATTGTTTTCAGATCATTTTTGGAGGGCAAGCCCATGGCAAGTTAGATTCATTCCATCTTATTCATGTACTCTTTGATGAATAAGCACAAACATATGGGATTTGCAGCAATTGTTCATACACAGAAGCTGGGAAAAGCAAAATAAGACAAGCATTCCTCTCGAGTGCCCTCTTGCCCCCACCAAGCAGCGCCATTTTATAGTTTTATTCATTTAGCTGTTGCTCTCTGGATATAGCATCCATGAGAAGAAAAATTACTGAATAGTTAGAGTGAAAAATTGGAATTCTTCTATACACATATATTATATGTCTATGTGGATTCTTGATTGAAGAAATATATTCTTTATTATTGGTATTTGATTTATGTAAAGAGTCTTATTATTTATTTAATTTGCAAAAAGAAAATGATGATAAAGAATTTGTCGTGTAAAGCAATGGCCAAAGTATACGGCGGATTAGATGCTTGCGTTGTGGTTTTTATCTTCCGGCTAGCGCCGAATAATGAATAATATTTTGGAAGGTTTAAGATGAGTTAAATCCGCATTGGCCACTTGCTTGCTGGTTGCTTATATCAATGCAACTTGTTACACACAAGTCAAAAGAGAGATACGCTAAGAATTCCATTTGTCTCTCAAAACCTAGATTTTGTTTATTTTAATGAAGAAGGATCATGTTCAAGCAGCCAGTTTGTCCCCTTAGCAATTCAGTATATCAGTTGAAAATATATATGCCTGCATTGCAATAAAAGCATATTTGAATTTTAATATTATGAATTCAAAACTTGATTCTTTAAACTCGAAAGATGAATATTAAGACGAGTGTTGTTATTTAGATCACATTGCCACATTCAGGCGTATATGCAAACATTGTGTTACAAAGTATTAAATGGAAGGTAATATACATGTTACTATACCAAGTGCCAACACCATATAAACATTATGGTCTTATTATATATGCAGTGCAGTTGTTACCTGTATTGCATTTGGTCTTCTCTGGTGGCAGTCAATGTTTATGTGACGGAAGGTATGGGACACTCTGAAATCCTGGATGTCTTTTCATTGCAACAAATTCTGATGCTGTCGCTCATCTTACAGATGCTCAGGCATGGCCAGGTTCGTTTCTCTCCTCTCTTGTTGGACTTTGTGTTTTAATTAGACTATTTTCAACTGCGTTAAGCTGCAAAACATGTAAATATTGTCGTCATTGTCGTTGGTGTGGTGAGGTGAACATGTCGTTCGGGAGAGAGCGACGAGAGAAGAGAATAACGCGAGAGAGGAAAAGAGACTGGGCGTAGTATAGCCCGGCTGTACTGATTAAAAAACAAAAAATAGTATAGCCGCGCGGCTATATTGTTTAAAAACAAAAACGTAGAGCCGAGGGGCTATACTGTTTAAAAACAAAAAACAATAGTATAGCCGCACGGCTTAACGGTTTATAAACAAAAATAGTAAAAAAGGATAGCCGCACGGCTATACTGTTTAAAAACAAAAAAATAGTATAGCCGAACGGCCATACTGTTTAAATATAGTAAATTACCAATTTCACCTTCCCTCCTCCTCTAGTTTACATACTTCCCGCTCTCTCTGTCTCTCTTCCAATCAACCCCAACCCCAGCCCTCTTTTGTTCAATGCAATTAGGATTGATTCCCAATTTGGGTTTTGATCCTCTTCATCAGAAAACCCACGAAATGTAATCAGACGACGACTTCGACATGCTCGACGCCAATGATGACGACGACAATGACGAGGATTTCTATGGTGGCGGCGACGACGACGCAGCGGCCGCCATGGACAGCGACGAATCTGGAGTTGCGGATTATGAGTTCATCGACAACGACTCCGACGATCCAATGATGTCGCCTCACATCGATACCAGGTGGCTTTACGCTAATTTTATTTTTAATTATGACAGCTCTTATTTTCTTATTCTAGTTTCTATAAAATGATTTTGGTTATGTGACTTTTCTTCATTCTGATTCTGGTTTGTGAAAGTCGAGCCTTTATAGTTGTGAAATGTTAATTTCGCTTAATTTTGATTTCTGTTTGATCACAAATTTTCTTACTTTTTCCCCGTGTTGCGGTAATGTTAATGCTGCTGATTTTGATCTTAGGTTAGGTTTTATTGATTTATCAGAAATGTGAATTTAGTTTGTGTATTGTGCTAATGTTTATCGCGTTTGATCTTGATATTTGGTTTAGTTGAGGGTATAAAAAATATGAGCCTTTGCTTATATCATGGTCATGTTAATTCTGCTATAATTATGAGATTATTTTGTTGGGATAATGTTAATCGTTCTTGATTTTGATATTTGGGTTAATTTGGCTAGTGTAACTAAGGAAGGATTTGCATAGGTGCTGGTATTCTTAACAAAAAAGTAATTTACATGGGTTTGGTTTAATTATATCTGATTGGTTTTTACTTATTGTCTCTTGATTTGTTAAAGTTAGAGTCTTTTGTTGGTTGATAATGTCAATTCTGTTTAGAAGCAATTTGGTATTTATTTAATTGGTAGCTGGCCATGGTTGAATTAATTGGTTTTTGTCACCTTTGTGACTCCTTTTAAAGGTTGTTCATTGTTCGGTTGAACCCATCGATTTGGTAGCCTGTCTCTTGAAGCACTTCGCTCTGGAAAAGTAGATATTGAAAATCTGAGCCATATTTCATTATCTGACGACTTCGACTTATTGTTGAGTCTGAAGATGAGAAAAGTCTGTCAGTTATAGATACATACTAATTGAGCCTTTCAGGCATGGTAAATTGTGTTTGCTAGTGGTTTTCTCCTTGGGGATTCCAAGTTTTGCGTATTGTGAAAGAACTTTATTTTTGTTGTGATTTCCTTGCATCTGGTACCTCATGATTAGCACTAAATGAATTAACTGGTGCATGTTAATAATGAACTTAGATGATAATAGACTGATGATCGAGCCTTTTATAGGTTTATGTGATTGGTGAGGAAGGTATCTTGAAGGAGCTTGAGCTTGCTGGATATCAATACCTTGGTGGACCAGTAAGTATGAGTCCGAAATCATGTAAGTTTCAGTACATGATGCTGTTACTTGTACTTTTTCTATTTTGTATCCTAGTTTGTGAAATCAAATGACATGTTATTCATTTGGCTAACAAGAGTATTGCACAAAACTTGGTGTCATTATTTCCCTGTTGCTCGAGAGACATAACGAGGTCTACATCTTCTTTGGATGTAAAAGTAAATATTTGGAAACTGAATTTTTTGAAAACATCATCTTTTTGTGTGTGCTCGTGTGCCTAAGGCCCTAAACTATCAGGAAAAGTTAGGTAGTTACAATTGTTTATAATTAGTAGTTTGAGGGATGGACTGGGCTAAAGTTGTTTATAATTCTTTTTATTCATTAATATGCCCCTGTTATATTACATGTGATGAGAAGTATTTTTTTAAATGCTTTCCTTTTCTTACAGGAAGACAGTGGGAAGAAGATAGATCTGAAGCCTGAATTTCTGATGGAGCATGAAGAGAATGTATACTTCTGTCCTTTCTTGCTTCATAGAACTTTGTTTATTATTGGGTTTGTGTTGATAGAAATGCTAGTAGAACTTTCTCTCAATAGAGCTTTTGCATTCCTTTTTGGAACCTTAAAACTGAGCATACACATGTGAGGTTCTTTCTTTCTTCTTTCTTCTTAAAAAAAGAAAAAAGAACATCAACTTTTAATATTGCTAGATCTATTTGTTCGTTGTCTTCTAGGTTGGAGCTGTTGTGGTTGGATTTGACCGAAATTTCAACTACTACAAAATTCAGTAAGTTCTGGTGATTCTTGTTTATGTCAATGCATGTGTGTTGAACACACTGCACATTTTTGTTGTTGGAAGGTACTGTATTTTCCTTTGTAATTAAAATTTGAAGAATCACTGCTGCTTCAAGTACCTTCTGTTTTAGATTCTTCTTGCCTAAAAAATTGTTAGGGCTTCAGTTTAATATTTAAACTTTAACGTCTGAAGGTTTGGATTGAAAAAGAAATGCCACATAACTGCAACAATTCACTATATTTTTTTCTTTAATTTTCTATGGACTGTACTTGTTCTCAAATTCAGGCGTATATGCAAACATTGTGTTACAAAGTATTAAATGGAAGGAATATACATGTTACCAAGTGCCAACACCATATAAACATTATGGTCTTATTATTATGCAGTGCACTTGTTGCATGTATTGCATTTGGTCTTCTCTGGTGGCAGTCAATGTTTATGTGATGGAAGGTATGGGACACTCTGTATACGTGAAAACCCTGGATGTCTTTCATTGCAACAAATCGTGATCCTGTCACTCATCTCACAGATGCTCAGGAATGGGCAGGTTCATTTCTCTCCTCTCTTGTTGCACTTTGTGTTTTAATTAGATTATTTTCAACTGCGTTATGCTGCAAAACATGTAAAGATTTTCCTAATTGGAATTTGTTTCAAATTCAAAAGTCATTTGTTAGGGGCAGCGATTTTCACACTCCTATTTGTACACTTTGCACTCACATTTATATATGCTTTCATCTCCTTGTTTCTGTTCAATATATCAAAGCATAATATAAGGGAGAGGAGATAGGACTGTGAAAACGGCCACCTTTTATTCGATCTTATAAAAAAGAACTTATTAGAATTTATTGAACTCGTTAATGTTCAGATTCTGAATCAGATTATCTATGCATTTACTGATGCATGGGTTAGTGGTTCCAAATGACTTGATTACATGTGACCTAAACTTCTAAAGTTGACTGGGAAATTTTGAATTTCTGGACCTGAAAATACCTAGCCAAAAAGGTTGTTAACAAATTGATGAAGCTACTATAATTTTCTCTCAATGGCTACTATAATTAATACTCAACTTCAGGTGGTGGTTCTATGGTTGGCGCTATCCGCGGATCTACTCAATGTGAGCCGCTGGTTGTGGGAAAACCCTCAACATTTATGATGGACTACTTAGCAAACGAGTAAGTCAGATGCTTTATTTATTGTTCTTCATTGTTTTATCTTAATTCTTAAGTAACATGAGTACTGTTATCTTGAGCAAAGAACATATTCTGATAAGAGTTTTTATGTTATATAACACCAAGGCATTCTCTTAAGGTGGATATCATATAGCGTGATACATATAATGCGCTTTAAATTTGCTTTATAAGAGATACGTAACCTTTGTGTACCAAATATTATACGTACCACAATATCTATAATCCGAGATGCATTATAAGAGATATAAATGAGTATTGCATTGTAAGACATATAATGCGCCTACTTATGCTGATGAACCAAGACAGCAATTGATTTGCTTTGTAAGAACAAGACTACTTGTGATAACGAAACCATTGAAGTGCTAACAAATTGTAGTGTTAGTCCATCCA